CCACATCACCCACGCTGACCCTGGTCCTGGTGATCATCCTGGTGAGACAACAGTGCTGCTCCTCCATCACCATTATTATACTGGTAGTCTCCACCATACACACACTCCCCTGGTTGACCCTTGTTCTCCACCTCCAACAGTTTAGTGTTGAGGTAGGAGGAGCCTGAGTGTTGTCCAGTACACAACAACACAAACTGTCTGGTCAGTGTAGTGTTACCACTCAGCTGGATGTGGAGTCTGTTTGATCCAGCCAGTGATCCAGCTGGCCAGTGATCCAGGCTGGGGCAGTGATCCAGGCTGGGCCAGTGTTCCAGGCTGGGCTAGTGATTCAGGCTGGGCCAGTGATCCAGGCTGGGCCAGTGATCCAGGCTGGGCCAGTGACCCAGGCTGGGCCAGTGACCCAGGCTGGGCCAGTGATCCAGGCTGGGCCAGTGATCCAGGCTGGGCCAGTGATCCAGGCTGGGCCAGTGATCCAGGCTGGGCCAGTGATCCAGGCTGGGTCAGTGATCTAGGCTGGGCCAGTGATCCAGGCTGGGCCAGTAATCCAGGCTGGGCCAGTAATGCAGGCAGGGCCAGTGATCCAAGCCAGGCCAGTAATACAAGCCAGGCCAGTGATCCAAGCCAGTCCAGTGATCCAAGCCAGTCCAGTAATACAAGCCATGCCAGTGATCCAAGCCAGGCCAGTGATCCATGCCAGGGCAGTAATCCACACCTGGCGAGTGATCCAGGCTGGGGCAGTGATCCAGGCTGGGGCAGTGATCCAGGCTGGGGCAGTGATCCAGGCCAGGCCAGGTCAAGAAATACCAGAGTGGAGGAGTGATCCAGCGCCTCCAACACCTCGCTCACCTACACAAACAAACATCATCACTCTACATCTGTTATTATTATTAACATTACTATAATTATCATTATAATATTACTTTATTTTTATATTATTATAATTAGTTTTGTCATTATTATTAGTAGTAGTATTACTTATTATAAATAATTATTTATAATTATCTCACATTTATAAAAATATTACATTATAAATTTTATTACTACCTATTATTATTATTATTATTATATTATTATTATTATTATTTATTATTATTATTATTATAAATATTTATAATGTTTCATAATGATAATAATAATAATAATAATAATAATAATAATAATATAATATAATTTTTTACTAAAAGTACATGTACACGGTATACAGACCATAGCTGACATCAATGACTTAAGAAAGAAGGAACACTGCAACAGGCCTTCTGGCCCATGCAAGACAGGTCGAAGTGTCCTACCCACTTAAGCCAATGTCCGAAGCTAGTCAAGTCAAGTCACATTCAATTAAGGGAGGAACACAGCACCAGACCTAGTAGCACAAGCTAATCAGCTCCAACTCACACCCACCCACACCCACTCCTGTAGTTATCTAACCTATTTTTAAAACTACACAATGTTTTAGATTCTATAACTGTACTTGGGAGTTTGTTCCACTCATCCACAACTCTATTACCAAACTAGTGCTTTCCTATATCCTTCCTGAATCTGAATTTTTCCAACTTAAAACCACTGCTGTGAGTCCTGTCTGAGCTAAATATTTTCAGCATGTTATTTGCTTCCCCTTTATTTATTCCTGTCTTCCATTCATACACCTCAATCATATCCCCCCCTAATTCTATGCCTTTCTAGAGAGTGCAAATTCACCCCCTTTAAAAGTCTTTTCCCTCATGGGGAAATTTCGGGTTTTACATGGGATCAACTTTGTCTTTTTTTTTGTACATTTTTTCCGAAGGGATTTTTAACCATTCTGTAAAACGGGGAAACCCAAAAAGTGCGCTAATCTAAATGAGGGGCCCAACCAAGGATATGTAGAGTTGAAGAAAAACCCGGGATTCCCTTTTTTTTATTAAACTTAAAATGAAGCCCAGGATTCTATTAGGGTTTTAATTTCCCCAAAACAAATTATGCACTGTTGTCTTTGGTTTTAGATTAATGCTAACCAGAAATCCCAAAATCTTCTTCATTTATTAAGATCTATTTTTTTATTTTTATAATTGGGATGGTTTTTTTTCCTGTCCAAAAGTTTAGGGAAAAAGGGGGGTTGGGGGGGGTATATTAAAAATGCATCTGCCCTTCTCCCACCACTTTCATCAGTCTTTTCAAAATCATCCTGGAGTTCTCTAATGTCCTGTCAGGATGAATTCGACGCCTTTTTTGCTATAATCGGCCAAAATTCCTTTTGTCGCTCTTTTTTTGCCCTTCTCTATGCCCCTTTACATAGATTGGGGAACAACAGGGGGGCCCCAAAACTGACCCCTGTGGAACACCTTTGACACTTCCCCAAATGACTTCTCCCCAAATTTATGCCCAAAATCCCCGCTGCCCATTTTTTAAAACCCGCCCCCTATTTCCCGGAAAAAAAAAATTTTCCTATTCCTTTTACCCTTTTAAAAAAACCTAAAAATCTCCCAAAGTGGGAACCCCGTCAAAAAATTTTGAATCCATATAACCCCAAAATAAAATTTTTTTACCATGAGCCCACCTTTCCCCAGGGTACTTTAGAAAAATAGTTTTTAAATTTTTCCTTTTTTTTGGCAGGGAAGGCCCCCTTTTTAAAAAACCCCGAATTTGTTTATTAATTTTTTTGCTTTTCAAAATGGGGTACGAACTGCCTCAGCAATTTTTGATTTCTAAAAATATTCCCCCCATCGAAAATGGCGTATTGGTTTCCCAAAATTCGAAGCTTTAAGGGGAAAAAAACCCGTCCCTGCTTTGAAAATGGGGTTTTACATTTTTCCATTTTACACTTAATGGCCCCTATGGGCCGTTTGTGTGATATGTTGAAAAAAATTAGAAAGGATTGCCCAAGCTTTCCCCTTTACATTCCCCAAAAAAACCCCGAACCCGTTCTTTAGGACCCCGGGCATTTGTTAGGTTTTTAAAATTTTTTCTATTTGCCAAAAGGGCCCCCTTGTCATTGTGAAACCCCAATCGGCATAAAGGGAAACATCATCCCCGTTCTACATAAATTTTTTATTTCTGGAATACTGTAGTATCTTTCCGTGGGAGAACTTTAGAGGTATGGGGGGGGGGGGAAAAACTTTCACATTTCGGTAACAAATGTTGTGAGTGAATGAGTAATTTTGAGTGGGCCCCCATCTTGTCCCCCGATCTTACTTTTGGGGTGCCTTTAAATAATCTTTTTTGGGTTAAACTTTTATTTCTTTGGGGAAATTTTAAACCCCATAATTCTTTTTGGGTTTTTTATTCCCCCTTTTTTTTTTCTCTTTTTTAATGAAAATATTGATTTTTTAATTTTGGGGCCCTCTTTCCCCCTTTTTAATTTTGCCTGTATATGCCTCTCTTTTGACCAATGAAAAGTTTTAGACTATTGTTCATCCATTTAGGATCATTTTTCTTTGATCTTATTTCCCTATTCAGAAAGTAAGCTGTCTGAGCAGCAGGAACTATGCCCTGGAAAACATCATATTGGCAGTCATCACCACCTACCTGACCCACAGTCAGGTGATGCGACCCACAGCAGTCCACTAACAACCAGGATGCAACCAACAGCAGTCAACTAACACCCAGGATGCGATTCGCACCAATCTAATAACACCTAGGATGCGACGACACCAGTCCACTAAAACACAAAACGCAACCCACAGCAGTCCACTAACATGCAGGATGTGACCTACACCAGTCCACTAACACCCAGGATGTGACCCACAGCAGTCCACTAGCACCCATGATGTAACTCACACCAGGCGACTACCATCCAGGATGCGACTCACACAAATCCACTAACACCCAGGATGCGACTCACAAAAGTCCACTAACACTCAAGTTGCGACCCACACCAGTCAACACCCAGGATGCAACCCACACCAGTTGACTACCACACAGGATGCAACCCAAAAAGCCCACTAACACCTAGGATGCAACTCACTCTAGCCCACTAACACCCAGGACATGACCCACACCAGTCCACTAACACCCAGGACATGACCCACACCAGTCCACTAACACCCAGGATGGAGCCCACACCAGTCCACTAATACCCAAGATACGACCACAACAGTGCACTAACACCTAGGATATGACCCACATCAGTCCACTAACACCCAGGATATGACCCACAACAGTCCACTAACACCCAGGATGCAACCCACACCAGAAGACTAACACCCATGATGTGACCCACACTAGTCCACTAACACCCAGGATGTGACCCTCACCAGTTCACTAACACCCAGGATGCAACCCACAGCAATCCACTAACACCCAGGATGTAACCCACACCAGTCAACTAACACCCAGGTGAGGTCCCACACCAGTTAACTAACACCCAGGATGCAAGCCACACTGGTCAACTAACACCAAGGATGCAATACACACCAGTCCTCTAATAACCAGGATGTGACACACCAGTCCACTAACACCCACGATGCAACCCACACCAGTCAACTGATGCCCAGGATGCAATCCACACCAGTCCACTAAAACCCAAGATGCGACCCACACCAGTCTACTAACATGCAGGATGCGACCCACACCAGTCGACTAACACCCAGGATGTGACCCACACCAGTCCACTAACACCCAGGATGCAATCCACACCAGTCCACTAAAACCCAAGATGTGACCCACACCAGTCAACTAACATGCAGGATGTGACCCACACCAGTCGACTAACACCCAGGATGTGACCCACACCAGTCCACTAACACCCAGGATGCAATCCACACCAGTCAACTAACACCCAGGATGTAACCCACACCAGTCAACTAACACCCAGGATGCGACCCACACCAGTAGACTAACACCCAGGATCTGACCCACACCAGTCCACTAACACCCAGGATGCAGCCCACATCAGTCAACTAACACCCAGGATGTGAGCCACACTAGTCAACTAACACCCAGGATGCAATCCACACCAGTCCTGTAATACCCAGGATGACACACACCAGTCCACTAACACCCACAATGCAACCTGCATGAGTCAACTGATGCCGAGGATGCAACCACACAAGTCCAATAAAACCCAAGATGTGACCCACACCAGCCCACTAACACAGAGGATGTGACCCACAGCAATCCACTAACACCCAGGATGTGACACACACCAGTCCACTAACACCCAGGATGCAACCCTCACCAGTCAACTAACACCCAGGATGCAACCCACATCAGTCAACTAACACCCAGGGTGTGACCCACACCAGTAGACTAATGCCAAGGATCTGACCCATACCAGTCCACTAACACAGAGGATGTGACCCACAGCAGTTCACTAACACCCAGGATGTAACCTACACCAGGCAACTAACACCCAGGATATGACTCACACAAGTCCACTAACACCCAGGATGCAACCCACTCCAGCCCACTAACACTCAGGATGTGACCCACAACAGTGCCCTAACACCCAGGATGCAACCCACATAATTCCACTAATACCCAGGATGTGACCACACCCGCCCACTAATACCCAGGATGTGACCACACCAGTGCCCTAACACTCAGGATGTGACCCACACAAGTCCAAGAACACCAATGATGCATCCCACAACAGTCCGCAAACACCCAGGATGTGACCCACAGAAGGAGATTACCACCCAGGTCGCGACCCACAGCAGTCCACTAACACCTAGGATGCAACCCACAATAGCCCACTAACACCTAGGATGCAACCCACTCTAGCCCACTAACACTCAGGATGTGACCCACACCAGTAGACTAACACCCATGATGCAACCCTCACAAGTCCACTAACACCCAGAATGTGACCCACACTAGTTCACTAACACCCAGGATGTGACCCACAGCAGTCCAATAACACCTAGGATGCA